TTTTAGTGTCTTATCCTGGCCGGTTAAAAGATGTCCAAACCGTATTTTTAATCATATATCAATTTTTTCAAATGGAACGAGGGTGGCTCATTAGCATATTTGGATAAAGCATTTTTTTACGAAAAATTTGATACCACACACTTGGTATTTCAAGTTAATTTGTCGTTATGAACCGCATGTTATAATTTCAAATAAACCATACGCAAAAATTTCAAAAGTTGACATATGATATGTCATTCTGTTCAAAGTGTCATTTTCTATAGAATAAAGTAAAAAAATACCGAGGGTGCCATTTAAAAATCAAAAACTCTAGTCATTTGACCAAAGTGACCAAAAACAATTGAATATGTCAATCAATCCTAATTTATGTCATATCAAAAGTTCAAAATTTTTACAGCAAATTAAAGATAATGATTTATAGAACCGATTCCTGCAAAAAAGTGAATTTTGAAAAAAATGTCGATTGGAACCCTATCTCAGCCCTATCAATATTGATATGTATTGATTAATTCGATTCCAAATATCTTGAGAACCATTACTCATTGCGATTTTTACCATCAGTCTTTTTTGACGTAAAAAACGGAAATGTTATAATGGAAATATTTTTTCACTCAGTAGTGTAATACAGGTGCGGTCGAAAAATTATTACTCTTCAAAGCAGTTAAAAAATATGTAGGTGGCAACCCCTACAAATAGGAGTCACACCAATTTTCATTCAAATATGGACGTTAATTCAGAAATTATTTAGAGAAAAACGAAATAGAAATGAAACTGTTACACCCTGTATCTTCGAAACGAAGCATTTTAAAACATAAATTTATTCGAACTTTTTTACTTATTTCTATCTGCAGAATATATGTTGCCGAAGTTACCCAATTTACAATTCGGACCACCCTGTATATCTTATGTGAGTATTTTTTATATTACAAAACATATTTGATTGAAAAATATAAAATAAACTAAACCAGATCAATTATGAGAGATCGTACTAAAACAGCACCGATTTCTCAACGTTTCTGTGCATGTGTATGTTTCGTTTCGATATCGAACTATTTCCTGTCAAAAATAATTAACTTTGCTACGTTGCCACACTTATCCAGCTGATAATTCACCAAAGCAACACCCCGCTACAGCGGTTGTATCGCAAATATACAAAAAGAAATACGATAGACAAGTTCTTTGTTCTAGTTTAGCAACAAACCGTCTAGGGGAACGTTTTTCAAAACGGTACGATATTTAGATAGACGTTTTAGGTGTGAGTGTAACAACCCAAATTCGTCAACAAAGTTGAAGAGGTAATATTTTGGCCAACTGTATAACAAGAAATTTAAATGAAAGAAAGTAACCTACGTTGTGTTAATTATTTTTTTATTGTGATTATCTCGGATGAAGCAATATTTTAGGAAATTTGAGGAGAATAGGTTATGTAAATAAAACGCTAAATTCGTAAATGCCCTACTTATTTTATTAAATGAAATGAAAGGAGTGCCGTACTCTGCCTGGAATTCACATGTAAAAGAGCACGACAGAGAAAACCATGATCACTATTCCAGAGAATCTAACTATGCTGTCCTGAACTTTAATAAAAGAGAAATAATAATATAGAAACTGTCCTCATACCTAGGTTTATAGTTTAATACATTCAAAACATGCCACATTTATATCGTTCAAAACTGAAGAGGTTTTTGTTAGTTTAACGGGTCCCACCCGTAGGTACGAAGTCCCTTGTTGCGGAATCGACGCTAAAGTTGAAGGTTTGGTGCCAATATCTTATAATTTAATAAATTGTAAGTTATTCTATGAATTATTTTATTTATTGTTTTTGTTTGCCCTTTTGCGAGCTAAAATATTCGCCCATGCAAGGTCCAAAATTGTTAGTACACTCAACAAGGCTCTTATTCTCACAAACCACAAGCATCGGCACGAAGGAACAGTAAACGATTTTATTTAGATTACTTTTAAACTGAAATTATTTACAGCATAAATAGATTCCATTAAATGCATTCACATGTTATATATTGTCTTTGTCAGATCAAATGAATAATGAAAAAGCTTTAGAACGAATTACAACAAGAAAACAAAATAATATGATTTAGTTAACATTAGTTAAATAATGAGAAAACATTTACTTTACCTTTAATAACATTCTTTGTCACAGAACTCAAGAACCAAAATAAAATCAATGCGTTTCGAATGGTAGTCTAGAAGCTATTATCTAACAACTATCACCTCTGTTCGTCGCCTGATTTCCCTCTCCCTAGTTTGTGAATAATATTTTAAAAATCAATAATTTTGTTTATGTATACAGAGTGTCTTAAAAATGAATGGTTTGCCCCCCCCTTAAATCTGTAAATTATGTTAAATATTAAGCTTTTTTGTTGAAAATGGCGTCCTAAAAGCATATTCTATATTACTTTTTATTTTGGGCCGCCCCTAAAGTAAATTTCTGTATCCGCCCCTGTTTATCTACTATTTTTGATAGATATAAGGCAATTTTAACAGTTGCTATGGAAAAAAATAAATTGTTTCATTCAATAATCCGTATAATAATCAGTATAAAAACAACCTTTTAAAGCCAACTGGCAGTAAACGCCATTAATTATTTTTTTGAATTAAAATTTTCATTTTTAAAAATTCTCATAGGCGTTTTATGTGATTGAAATACCCTTAAAAGATATGTACACTTATTTAAGATTTACCTTGTATTATTTGTCCCGGTTTTTGAATTTTTCAAATAATGTTGGTTCTACGTGCGGTTCTGTTTTAATCTGGTCTCCCCTACACTTGTCTAATTTCATATTTCAATTAGAAAAAAAATCGAGTGCCCTGTTTTGTTTTTGTCAGTCACCAGAACTGGTCTACAATTACTTATTGGCGCATATAATACATACATAATGTAAAGAATATGTAAGTATATCAATTTTGCGCAATTTTGATTTGCGGCCAAGTTTTGTGTTTCTCGCTTGGGTTACGTAACTGAAAAAATTCAAATTCGATTGCTTAGAATTTGTCCATATTCAAAGAAGGTGTATATTTGATATTACGTGATTGTAAAATTAAGAATATTTGATACTGTCTGTATATTGCGGCTACACTTTTTTAATAGGCGGTTTTTTAAGTTTGGCGTAGAATTTTTAACATCCTGTATGATTTACGATTACCATATTTATAGCAAAGCAGGAACAGACCATCTAAAGTAAATACCTAATATAGTTTCGATTTCATAACAGTTCTTGCATTTTTAATATTTTTTAAGGACTGAAAAATATAATATATTTTTGATTGATTTATTAATTTCTCTAAAACTATCGAAATATATTTACTCCTATCTTAGGATTATGTAAAATGATCCGAAAGGAAGCTAAAAATGCAATAATATATAGGGTGTTAAACTTTAAAAAAATTATCCCGATCCACTCACACTTTTTTGACCCACCCTATGGAAGTTAAAATATTTTCCTGAAATACAGCCTGATACATACTTTAGGTTTGCACTGAAACAAAATTCTTAAGTTTTTTATTCTAGGAGCTACAGATGCCCGACGCACTATTGCCGACCTGTATAGTTATGAAAACTGACGATTTTTGTTAGGCCACTGATTTTATAAAACTGCTTGTTATATACTAATTGAAAGATATAGAATAAGAAAATATAGGCCATTGTAGCCTTACGAGAATTGGTGTAATACTATACAGGGTGGCCCATCGAAAACGTTCCGCAAGGCATAACGGCCAGCGTATTTTTTTTTCAAAAAATCCAAAAACACATCAATTTTGTTTGTGAGGGGGAGGACAAGTTTTGCCCCAAAAATGATTGCAAAATCTTCAACCCTCTAAGCGGGGGTGTCATCCCCAAATTTTTTTTCAAATGGGAAGGGGGGTCAAGTGGCGCCGCAATGAAAAGAGCTTTCTATTCTCTATATTTCCCCGCTTCGTTTTTGAAAATCGGTCGAGTCATTAAGAAAATATGAAGGATTGAAATTTGAAAAGTTTATTTAAACATTTATCAGAGTAGATGATAAGGATAAATTGCTTCGACCAATTTAAGTTTTTTTCTTATTATTTTTAGATGTTTAAGCATTTTTTCACTTGCCACAAGGTTGAACGATCAGATGCGGTAATTGCTAGATAGCTGTTCTGTGACTTGTGCGTTGAAGTTCTTCTCAATATCGTTAAACTGACCCACAATAGAATTTCCAAAAATACCAGCCCACACGTTCAATTTCTAAGGGTTTTGTGTGTGCACCTCGTGAAAAACCCTGGGGTTGTTTTCAGCCCAGTACCGACAGTTGTGCCGATTAACTACACCGTTCAAAAAGAAAGTACACTCATCCAAAAAACACACATTAAATAAGAAATTATTATGATTCGCCACTCGTTCACTCATAGATTCACAAAATTGCAAGCGACGATCAAAATCGTCTTAGTTGAGTTCTTGTACCAACTGAATTTTGTACGGGTAGAACTTGCGTTTTATTAATATCCTTTGGACACTTGTACGATTCACGCAGCGCACCGGTCTTATTGGCTAATTTTCTTGTACTCACCGTACTATCCATGGCAACTTGGCCCAATACGAATACCTTCATAGCTTCATTTACTACAGGATTTTCCCTCTGCCTCTTTTTATTCATAACAGAACCAGCAGTGGGACTCCGTGTTATATAGAAATCTATAATAGTATTCTATTATCCCTTTCTATCGGAGGACGGCGATAGTAGAGTTTATTGGCACTCTGTGCCGATATCGTTTTTGTTCGGCTGTTTTCGCGTATTTTTCGCTAGCGATCCTATTAATCCTACAAACATTAGCAACTGAAGCGCCTGATACAAATTTTGGTGTTATTTTCGTCTTTGTTTATCGCACATTTAGATAATGTGGAAACATACACCGGCGGGTAACATGTTTGTTTACATGATAGATAACCTAACCAAAAATTAGTTTAAATATTAAAACATCTTCAGTAAAAAAAACTAAGAATCTTTATTATATCATTTTGATTAGCAAAATGAGGGTAAGTGCCGAACATTGGAACTTACTGTTAAACGTTTGCGAGAACAATCCGGAATTAATAACAAATAAATTTAATGGTACTGAAGGAATGCAAGTGTTTCGGTACAATTGAATAGTTTAGGATATGGTGAAAAAACCGTGGATGGTTGGCGAAAAGTAAGTAAGTATGTTATTATCCTGTCACAGACCTTTATTAATCTGGAAATAAGTTATAAATTAAGTGGTAAGAGTAATATCACAAACTTATATTTATTTTCAGACGCTTACTGATTTACTGATTGGAAATGCAAAACAAAATCAAAGGCTTCTGTCATAAAAATGGAGCAGCAACGAACTGGCGCCCGAGTTAGGATTTGGAAAAGTAAGTGCTACTTTATGTTAGTTGAAAAAAGTCACAAAGGCATTTACATTATCATGTTCTTTAAGTTGTTTGTTAATTGGTGTTGGTTATAGGTTGAAATTCTCAAAAATATGGAGACTGATGCACCATCCACCAGTGCCATACGAACTCCCTGTGCCCCATTAAATGTTGAGATTAATGCAGCATCCACCAGTGCCTCACTAACCCCCAGTGTAAAAAGAAAGTTGGAATACAAAAGCACTCATTCAGAAAGGTGCTATTCAGGCGAGCTCAATCGGCGACATCGACAGTTGAAATATTTGAAGGCCGTTCATGTTTATTGTGTGTTTATTTCATAATTATTACCATATTATATATATTTTTTAAACAAAATAGTGTTTATTTGGTACAGAAACAAATTATAATCTTCTAGCCTTTCCTCTTCTCCTGCTGCCATGATATTTATTATGTTAATTGGCAACATATTTAAATAACTCTCACACAAAATAGAGTTGTCAACAACTCAAAAACATAAAGAACAACAAACAAAATCTTAGATTAGCAAATTCCTCTGAGACAAAATAGGTAACTTAATCTAATAACCTTAAAAATGTCAAATATTTTCTCAATACGCGTGCGCTACGTAGAATTCGATACCAATTGAAATGTAGAAATCAAGCGACCAAAATAATCGCATCTTATCGATATCGTTGCTGCACGGAGTGCCGATCCTATAGAATTCTGACGATAGGTAGAATTCTACATGACACAGAGTCCCACCACAGTTTCGCGAAACTCTGCTACTAACTCGCGAACAATTTTGCTATAAAGGTGGTTGTGAGGATGGCGTTCATTGAATATCTGCGCAACCCGATACATTCATTATTTTTAAAATAAAGTTCGATTATTTCCACTTTTTCTGCATGTGAGTATACTAATAATTGTTAAAAACTTTAACGATATTGAGAAGAACTTCAACGCATAAGCCACAGAACAGCTATCTAGCAATTACCGCATCTGATCGTTCAACCTTGTGGCAAGTGAAAAAATGCGTAAACATCTAGAAATAACAAGAAAAAACAGCAAATTGATCGACGGAATTTATCCTTATCATTTACTCTGATAAATAATGTTTAAATAAATTTTTCAAATTTTAATCCTTCATATTTCCTCAACGACTCGACCGATTTTCAAAAACGAGGCGGGGAAATATAGAGAATAGAAAGCTCTTTTCATTGTGGCGCCATTTAAGATTTTGCAATCATTTTTGGGGCAAAAGTTGTCCCCCTCACAAAACAAAATTGACGTGTTTTTGAATTTTCTGAAAAAAAATACCTTGGCCGTTATGCCTTGCGGATCGTTTTCGATGGGCCCACCCTGTATGAATTGCCTTTAATAACACATCCTGATGGAACTTTATTAGCTGTTGATAGGTCCGTCGCGGCGGAAATATAAACACGCCATTACTACCGAAACCGGAAGAAAATGAAACTCGAGACCGTTTCTTCTGTTTGAGAAAGGAAATGCGCGCCCGACGCGACAACACGTGACGTATACACAATCTCAGATTACCACATTTTCTTCTTTTCTTCTAAACGACGTGCACTTGATTTCACTCACAGAACACACTAAAGAAGAACGCTAACTCCCATGCAATTTTTATTTTCAAAACGGTTTCAAATTTGTAAAGAAATCTGTAATCTGTATATTGAAGTGGCGCCATCTAGCCACCCAGGAAAGTAACAAATGTGGCGGCAAATTTAAATAGATGCAATTTATTTTAAGTTAAGATGGGGAGCATTGACTTGTTCAGTTAGGAGCCAATCAGATTTCTACAAAATAATGTGTAGTCATCTGATTGGTCCCAAGTTGGCAAACAAGTCAAAATGGTAAAAAACAAGGATTTATATATAAAGGTTAAACCAGGTTAAACTATTGTAAAGTGTTAAATGGTTTGCTTATATCATTTTATGTGCATAAAAACCTACAATAAATAATTTATTTTAATTTACAGAAAATTATAGCATGAAACATTTTACAAACAAATAAAACAACAGATTAAAAAGTATAATATTTATTATAGTACCAGATTTAAGAACACATAACAAATATCGTTGGAATACAAGAGAAAGTGACGTCCATTAGAAACAATGTTTTATTTACGTGTATTTTTTAAATATGGACTTGAACAATTGTGTAATATCACATTGTGGAGTTTATGTACAAAAATATGGAGTTGATCAATATTTTTTTGTAAAAATATATGGCGTTGTAAATATTACATTGTTAAAAAATAAAATTCACGAACATTTGGACTTGGTTAGGTTACCTCACCTCACTTTCTCGGATTATTAAATAAAATTGTTAGATAAATCAAAGACCTTAACTTAAACCTTACCTTTAATAAAGATCTTAAAAATCAAACACAAAACAAAGTTCAAAAAATTCAAAAATACAAAATCACGATTGCAAAAATGAAGATTGCAAAAACACAGCCAAACAACCAGAAAACAGCGAAACGCACATCTCCGTTCAATTGCAAAACACAACTGAAGAGGAAGGAGGAAGCCGGAAACGGAAAACTGATTTGACATACAGAACAATGACAGAACATAATTAATAGGCCTATTTAGGCAACTATAAAAACAATTTTGTACGCAATTGTTAGGCAACTAGAAAAATTAAAATAAAAATACGCCATCTAGCGCCCCAGGAAATTACTACCCCAAAAAAAGTTCGTTCAAGGTCGTATATCTCAGTTGACTGGCCCTGATTTCACTTGCCTGCCGTATATAGTTCAGCGATCTTGAAAAATTTATGTGGCTTCATTCATAATAAGAAAATAAACCTGTAGCGACTTATGGTGAGATAATTGTTATAAAATATGGTAGCTGCCGTGTCTTCTAAAGAGACTTGAAAAGATCCCTTTGTTTCTTGCATCGCACTTTTGACTGCATGAAATATTATGGGTCATATTTATGTTAAGCTTTTTTTTAAACTTTAGTGATATATGTATATGGCATTTTAGTAATTTTAATGAGAGTGAGATCAACCGTAATACTTAATAATATTTGACATTAATTCTCCAGTTAGCATTTATCTCTACTAATATATAAAATCCTTAAGTGACAGACTCTCTGATTAATCACGATCCTGCTCAAACCACTCAACGTAAGAAGCTCAATTTTGGCATACAGGTTGATTCTAGGGTGTAGAGGTGCGATAAGAAGGGATTTTTCGAAATTCCAGTTCCAAGAGGGTGAAACCACCCCTCAAATATTACAATATTTTTTATTTAAAAAACGGTCAAGTTTCCGAAAAAACGCCTAAACACGTATATTTTATTTTGTTTTTTACATATTTTAAGATTTTTTAAAAATGCATACAGGGTGTTTCGAATTGATTAATTGATTGATTAATCACGATCCTGCTTAAAGCGCTTGACGTAAAAAGCTGATTTTTGGAAAACAGATTGACTTTAGGGTGTAGAGGTTCGATAAGAAGGGATTTTTCGAAACTCGAATTCTAAGGGGGTGAAACTATCCCTCAAATACTAAAATATTTTTTATTTAAAAACCGGTGAGTTTTTCGGAAAAACTCTTAAACACGTATATTTTATTTTGTTGTTTTACATATTTTAAGATTTTTTATAAATTTATACAGGGTGTTTCATAAAATATGACCGTTGAGTAATCACGAATCTGCTTAAACTGCTTGACGTTTAAAGCTGATTTTTGGTAAACGGATTGATTGTGGGGTGTAGAGGTTCGATAAGGAGGGGTTTCTCGAATCTCAAATTCCAAGAGGGTGAAAATGCCCCTCAAATATTAGCTAACATTTGTTATTTAAAAAACGGTTAGTCTTTCGGGAAAACTCTGTTGGTTTTTTTACATATTTTGATCTTTTTTAAAATCATACAGAGTGTTCCAAAAAGTTGGCTAATTGATTAACCACGATTCTGCTTAAACTGCTTGACGCAAAAAGCTTATTTTTGGCAAACGGATTTTTCGAGAGTTAAATTCCAACGAGATGAAACTACCCCTCAAATATTACCAAGTTATATAATAATATCGCCATATTGTTTTTCTCATGCTGACATAAATGTGAGAAAATTTTATCCAGTTTGTGTGTTAATGGAAATGCTTGCTTTGCTTTATCATCACCATTAAAAAATGATTAATTCGACGCGATCGAAGTCGCGTGTACACGCTAGTGACCTTATATAATTTTCCACATAAAATGACAGCGATCTTTATTATATTGTATTGCAATAATTGTTGATCACCCTGTAATATCATCTTCTTCTGAAATCATATATTTTATGCTCTTGCTAGACGAAGTAGATTTAAATTTAGAAATAAAGTTGTCTCAGTGGGGTAAAGAAACATTACCTAAACCTTAGATATTTCAAATGTCTATAAATACCCAAAAGTTTACAGTCGCAGCGGGATGTGCATAAATCTAAAATAAGCCTTTTATAAAATTAGAAACTAGATCAACCGCATTATACAGGGTTACAGTTTAAAAAGAAGCTCTAGGAAATACTTTTTAAAAATTCTATCAGGGAGATCTCAACTCAAATACATGGTCGTGGTGAGTCATGCCTGGTGGTAGTTGAGCTGTTTATTGAGAACCGGCGATATGTTTTATTTTTGGAAAATTATGGTTAATTTTATTACATTTTATAGGATAGTGTTTTCATTTTTCATAATTTTTCTTACTATACTATCTCTATATCTATGACCCAGAAAAATTAAAGATTTTCCTTGATTTAAGTAAGAACAATCTTCGGATTGTAACGAGGTTTTTAACAGGACACTGCCTCCTCAATTAACACCTCAGTAAGATTGATTAGGTTCGAAGCAAATGCAGATTTTGTGAGGAAAGTAGGGAAACACCAGAACACTCATCAATTGCTGTCCTCCATTCGCGAATTTCAAGTTCCAGAGCTTTACGCCCTGGGCTACTCGGAGAACTGTTCTGAAAGGAGCTATGCGCGATAGCCTGGTGCTCCATATGACGCGGAACAGTTCTGAACTTTATGACTCAATTGAATGGAGTGACAGTATCGCGTTCTGAACAGTTCAAGACCTGCAAAACTGTTAGTTATAACTCAGGGAAGGAGGACACAATAGAAAATCACTGCTTTCATACATTCTACAAATCTAGTTTGATTTTAAACTATCGCCCTGTATAATTTTAAGGAGCTTCTTAAAATGTCACTGTCGCTGATAAATTTACGGAAGCACACACTGACACAATCTAACTTATGGCTTCTTATTTTCGGGCGTCCTTTTTATTTTTAACCAGTCGGTATATATTTAAAAGAAGAAAATTTCTCTGAAAGTTCCTTGC